ATGGAAACATGATGGAAACATGATGAAAACATGATGGAAACATGATGAAAACATGATGAAAACATGATGGAAACATGATGGAAACATGATGGAAACAAACATGATGGAAACAAACATGATGGAAACAAACATGATGGAAACATGATGGAAACATGATGGAAACAAACATGATGGAAACAAACATGATGTGTTTGTGTGTTGATGTTGAATGTTTGTGATAAACTGAAGGATTAAAGTAGCTCGAACAGTTTTACTCATTTTTCACAAAGTTTTCAAAGATGTAGAAAAGGAGTCAGTCCTCGTCCCTGCTGATCTGCTCCCATCCACACACTCTTCTCCTCACCTCCACCTGTAACATACCGGTAAATGCCAGACAGGTGCTGGAGTTCATCTGTGACTCACAGGTCTGCAGATAATCTGTCCACAGCCGTCGCTGCCATGGCAACACCGACCCTTTTACTCTGCATGTTGCTGAAATGTCCTCGACAGCAGTAATGATTACGTTCAACGACGTATAGATCTGCTCCACTGAGTCTGAGAACAAGCTCTGAGAAAACACATCACCCAACATGTTTGCCTGGTGACAAAATTTCAGCGTTTACTTTTAGTTTAGTTCTACTTTTAGACGGCGAGGAGCAGTCAATACCCGCGTGAACGGGTCGACGACAATGTGAAGACGATCGAGTGAATCGATTGTCGAGAAAATGGAAGGACAGACTGACAGACAGAGACTCCTACATTTTAGTGAGATAACATTCACAATAAACTCATCTTTAGCTCCAGTAGAGATGCTGCACAGAATTACCGGGCGGATGGATACGCTGTTTATCGTCAAGAAATAGTTCCACCACTTGACTCCTCCTAAAACCCTCAAACTGTTGTTTCTACATTTCTGTCAAAGACATGAGATTCAGCGTGATCATCGGGGAGCTTTAGAGATTGGACAGAGACACGCTAGCAGTTTCCCCCTACTTCCAGTCTTTATGCTAAGCTAGGCTAACCACGTCATGACTCCAGCTCCCTACAAAACGCACAGGAAGGTGTACATCTAAAAATTAAAGAATTGTTCCTTTGAGGTTTTGATTTTCCTTTTAACGTCCGATATAACACGTAGCAACTAAAACAAAATCATTTTCTAAACACATTTTTGTCACATTTCTTAAGAATTTATCAATATTTTTAAAGATATTTTTCACACATTTTTCACATATATTTCACACATTTTCTACTTTTTTCAAACATTTGTGGACAAGGAGTCAATGAACATCACTGTTGATGTGCTCTGATCCAAAGGCCTCTTCACCTCCACATGTAGCTCCGGTTATGTTTCATCCACTCGTCTTGATAACTGTCTCCTCTGTGTATCGATGCCATTTCAACAGGAAGTGGATGCGGCCCCCTTCAGGTTCTTCTTCTCAATTATTCAACAGAAAAACATCTAAATATTGAAAAGCTCACCATGTGCAGAGGAACAGTCATTCTGACTCATAAATGAAGGCTCAGCAGGTTTTCCTGTGTGAGTTTTTATGACCCATAAGTCTTGTGTGATCTGTAACTTAAACTCTGTGTTGGTTCAACATGTTTTCACAAAGTGTTGTTTTCTACGAATGTAAAACATCTTCCTGATGCTGCTTGAAAAACAACATTCACTATGAGACAAAGAGGAGTTTAAATATTTAAATGTGAGTCATTGGGACTCTTTATGGCCTCCATAGTCAGCAGAAACCAACAGATTTCACTCCTCGTCTCACACAGAAGTTCATTTAACTGATTGTATTAAAGAGTCTGGTGTTGTGTTCACTGACCGCTGTTTCTCTGGT